CCCGGACCGCCAGGGGCTTTCCCTGAACAAGCGGCAGACCAGCTTTGAGACGCACTGATGTAGAAGACCCGAAACAATTCTAACCAAGATATTATTTAATATCTTTGCCCAGAAGGCCACAGGTCTTTAGTTTGACCAATAATACCTACCAATGCCCAAACATAAAGTGCTTTTTTTAGGACTTTGTCTACATTAGACAGTTGTACCATTTTAACTACACCAGTATAGTTAAAGTGGTACAACTCACCTAGTGTGGACACATTTACAATGGTCTAAAGGTGCTTTCTACTGGTACAGATATTCCCTTTTAGGAAGGGGCATAACTATACTAGAATGAGTCACCTTTATGCTGATACGGCTGTGTCCACAGTAGGGCTTTTGCTGCTCTATTTCAGTAAAAAAGCTGGCCATTTCATTTGATAGTTAGTTTGTTAATGGCTATTTCAAACCATAGTAAATGAGAGGAGAACCAGGCTCATTTTCTTTATTTCTGAAAATGAAAGAGTGTGATAGATAATTTCAACATTTATTTCTTTCAAAGCATAACTGCAAACATTGACTTGAGTGGAGTCATGCCTGGTTTTAAAACCACTGGTGATCAGAACCAGGCCCAATGTATTTTGGCATAAAGGGATGTTGAGGAATGTGGATATAAGTGCACATATTTTGGTACATTTTTTTAAGGCCAGACTCTTAACTAGCTCAGTCTGTGTGTGAGCAGAAGATTTTCTCAGACCCACATCCGATGTAACCTTCCACTTGCTCTAACTTCATTAACTTGCCATATAAAACAAAATTCTTTTGAACTAGGTGAATGTTTTGTTGATTAATGGAACCTTGTCAAGGCTAAGCGAAATATATTTATATACAATTATAACTTACAGGTACCTGAGCTGCCACAATCAAGTACTAGTGCCCATTATGGAGTAGAACTAGATATGGATATGTCTTTGAAAAATATTCTCCCTTGTAATAGTGATTGCAAACTGCATTTCAGATTCATTGTCATGAGTTTCCTCATCTCTCGCCCAAATCTGGGGAGCTGATGTTAGACACACAGGGCAATGAACATGCATGTATTTCATAAAGGTTACATGGTATATGAATACCTTGATGTTCGGATGTAGACGCATTAGGGTCCGCTTGCTGTATTCACTGTTGATTCCTAGAGCAAGCTCCACTTCTTTGTAGAGCATTACAAAAATTCTCACTCCTTGTTGCTATTAGAAAAGAAAGTAAATACATGGCAAGCACATATTTAAATAGGTATAACAACAACAAAAGCAAGAAAACCCCAGACTTCTAGATTCAGTGGGATGGTAGGCTAAGGGGAGTGCACATGTTGTTCTTGTGGGAAAAGCTCAGGTTGAGATCATACATCCAACAGGTCAGTTCCCGGTCAGAGGCTCCCAGATTGATCCTGAAATGTGCTGAGCAAACTCAGCTCCCATTAACAAGAATGTTCAGCAGCTCACAGGAGGCACCGAGCACCTTGGGGGATTGGACTCTTCCCTTGTGAGAAGTTCTGAGGGAGTTTCTGTAATGATATAGTTAGGGCCGGCTCCAGGCACCAGCCCAGCAAGCAGGTGCTTGGGGTGGCCAACGGAGAGAGGCGGCACGTCCAGCTCTTCGGCGGCGGGTCCCTCACTCCCTCTCGGAGCGAAGGACCACCAGCTGCCGAATTGCCGCCGAAGACTGAAGCGGCGGCAGTAGAGCAGATCGCGATCGCGGCTTTTTTTTTCTTTTTTCTTTTGCTTGGGGCGGCAAAAACCCTGGAGCCGGCCCTGGATGTAGTGTAGGATTTTTCTGACACAGGCTGATCTCATCTATGCCTAACTCAGACCTCTGGACTACAACGCCAAGAAAGCCAGCTTGCCCTGCCTGAATTTGTAAGATCAAGTGAGTGAAAACATTTTAGGTTTTTTAGGATATTTTATTTGCAGGAATTGTTTGAGTGAAGATATTGAGACAGAACCCTCAGCTTGTTCATCCCTAATACAGTGGAAGACTTCAGCTTCCCTTTCCTCTCTGCGCTTCACTTCAGCGCTTCCCTGAAGAGTTAGCTGTTCAATCTGGACTTCACCATGTGAAGCAGCGGAGGGCCTGGAGGTGCCATTATACAAACAGATACGAATACAATCCCTGATCTGAAGAGAATACAACACAAGAAATAGCACCATGAGATTGTAAGACCACAGACACTGACTTTTAATGCATTTCCAAGGGACTGGACGTCAGGTTGCCAGTGTCCCTTCAAATTGTGTAGGACTCCTCATAGCCTTCAGAAGGGCATTATTGTGCAGATGTGTTTCAGAACATGTGCTACATGAAAAATATTTCACTTTGAGTCAGCACCAATCTTACAACAGGTTCCTTTACTTTACACACTTCTAATGTGCCTTTTGGAGGCTCAGTTCTGCCACCCTGACTCACACTGAGTACTATCTTCCTCTACATGTCTATCTTCTATTGGCTTGCATACTTCTCTTAGCAGTTTGGCCACACATCTGGGGCCAGATCCTGAGCTACTGCAAAGCAGTGTAGCTCCATTGACTTCAGTAGAGCTATGTCAATTTACACAAACTAAGGATCTTTCAAAAAGACAGTAACCTGCATTTCTCTAAAGCGTCTATTAACAGTTTAGACCCTCTCCATGTTATGGGCCATATTCTACCCACCAATCCAATGGCCAATGAAGTCCGAGAAGTGCTTTGTAGACATCAGAGGATAGCTTTGCTCCTATATAGTTACCAGCCACTTACGGCCCTAGTGTGTCAATTATTTCTTCTACACACTATGCAAATACTTTCATGCTAGGAACACCTATGTTGATATGGAAAATAAAGCTAGATTCTTTCAGTGGGCATGACCAGTTTTATGGCAGTTGGCGCATATACAAGAACATAAGAATGGACACACCGGGGCAAACGAATGGTCCATCTATCCCAGTATCCTGTCTTTCAACAGTGGCCAGTGTCAGATGCTTCAAAGGGAATGAACAGAACAGGGCAACCATCCAGTAATCCATCCCCTGTCATCCAGACCCAGCATCTGACAGTCAGAGGCTTAGTGACACCCACAGGGATGTCACCCCTTACAATCTTGCCAAGATCTCTTTGTTGAGTGGTAATAGCTAATTTAGAACTATTATTTTGTATGTAGAGTTGGGATTATGTTTTCCAATATGCATTACTTTGCATTTAATCAACACTGAATTTCATCAGCCATTTTGTTGCCCAGTCACCCAGTTTTGTGAGATCCGTTTGTAACTCTTCGCAGTCAACTTTGGACTTAACTATATTGAGTAATTTTGTATCATCTGCAAACTTTGCCATCTCACTGTTTACCCTGTTTTCCAGATCATTTATGAATATGTTGAACAGTGCTGGTCCCAGCATAGATCCCTGAGGACACCATTATTTACCTCTCTCCATTCTGAAAACTGACCATTTATTCCTACCCTTTGTTTCCTGTCTTTATAACCAGTTACTGATCCATGCGAGGACCTTTCCTCTTATCCCATAACTCCTTACTTTGCTTAAGAGTCTTCTGTGAGGGACCTTGTCAAAGGCTTTCTGAAAGTCCAAGTACACTATATCTACTGGATTGCCCTTGTCCACATGTTTGTTGACCTCCTCAAAGAATTCTAATAGACTGGTGAGGCATGATTTCCCTTAACACAACCCGTGTTGGCTCTTCCCCAACAAATTGCATTCATCTATGTATCTGATAATTCTCTTCTTTAGAATCATAGAATCACATAGACTGGAAGGGACCTTGAGAGGTCGTCTAGTCCAGTCCCCTGCACTCATGGCAGGGATAAGTATTATCTAGACCAATGGTCTCCAACCTTTTTATGCACAAGATCACTTTTTGAATTTAAGATGAACCCAGGCTCTACCCCGCCCCTTCCCCAAGGCCCTGGCCCGCTCACTCCATTCCCCCCTCCCTCCATCGCTCGCTCTCCCCCCTCCTTACTCACTTTCACCAGGTTGGAGGAGGGGGTTGGAGTGCGGGAGGGGGTGCAGGCTCTGGGCTGGGGCTGAGGGGTTTGGAGTGTGGGAGGGGGCTCCAGGCTGAACCCGGGGCAGGGGGTTGGACTGCAGGAGTGAGGGGTGCAAGCTCTGGGAGGGAGTTTGGGTGCAGGGGTCATATGATCACCCTGCACCTAATTTCATAGAATCCACTAGACATTTCATGAGTTTTACTTTTTATTAGTGTCATTTGTGGTTTATAGATCCAAAATTCTTCAGGGATTGTCACAAATCAGTGTAACATTCTCAACTGTGGGGTGTGCATTGGCTGACCCTGGGGAAGGGGGTTGGGGTGCAGGAGTGAGGGGTGTAAGCTCTGGGAGGGAGTTTGGGTGCAGGAGGGGGTTCCGGGCTGGGGCAGGAGGTTGGGTGCGGGGGGGGGGGTGAAGTGCAGGGTCCGGCTGGGAGGCGCTTACCACAGGCAGCTCCTGGTCGGCGGTGCAGCGGGGCTCCGGCAGGCTGCCAGCCTGCCCTGGCCCCATGCCGCTCCCAGAAGCGTCTGGCTGCACCCCTTCTGCACCCAAACTCTGTGGTCCCTGGGAGGGAAGGGGGACACTGGGTCTCTGTGTGCTGCCCACACCCGCAAGCGCTGTCCCCGCAGCTCCCATTGGTCGGTTCCACAGAGATGTGCCAGCAGCCATCCATTTTCGGGATTGGCGTGGGGACAGGGCAGGAATGCAGCCTGCCAGAGCCCCACTGGACTTTTAGCGGCCCGGAGATTGCGATTGGCTGGCAGAGGCTCCAGGATCAACCAGCCGATCGCCATTGACTGGTTGGTGACCACTGATCTAGACCATTCCTGGCAGGTTTTTGTTTAACTTACACTTAAAAATCTCCAACGATGGAGATGCCACAACCTCCCTAGGCAATTTATTCCAGTACTTAACCGCCCTGACAGATAGGAAGTTTTTCCTAATATCCAACCTAAACCTCCCTTGCTGCAATTTAAGTCCACTGCTTCTTGTCCTATCCTCAAAAGTTAAGACGAACAATTTTTCTCCCTCCTCCTTGTAACAACCTTTTATGTACTTGAAAACTGTTATGTCCCCTCTCAGTCTTCTCTTTTCCAGACTACACCAAACACAATTTTTTTAATCTTCCCTCATAGGTCATGTTTTCTAGACCTTTAATCATTTTTGTTGCTCCTCTCTGGATTTTCTCCAATTTGTCCACATCTTTCCTGAAATGTGGTGCCCAGAACTGGACACAATACTCCAGCTGAGGCCTAATCAGCACCGAGTAGAGCGGAAGAATTACTTCTTGTGTCTTGCTTACAACTACTCCTACTAATACATTCCAGAATGATGTTCGCTTTTTTTTGCAAGAGTGTTACACTGTTGACTCAGGTCCCTTTCTGCAGTACTCCTTCCTAGGCAGTCATTTCCCATTTTGTATGTGTGCAAATGATTGTTCCTTCCTAAATGGAATACTTTGCATTTGTCCTTACTGAATTTCATCCTATTTACTTTAAACCATTTCTCTAGTTTGTTCAGCTCATTCTGAATTTTAATCCGATCCTCTAGAGCATTTGCAACCCCTCTCAGCATGGTATCATCCGCAAACTTTATAAGTGTACTTTCATACCATTATCTACTTTACTATAGTTATCCATTTACTATAGTTTCAACCAATTTGCCTGGGACTGATGTTTGGTTTACCAGCTTGTAATTGCCAGGCTCGCCTCTGGAGCCTTTTTTAAAAATTGGCATCAGATTAGCTATCCTCCAGTTGTCTGGTACAGAAGCTGATTTAAGTGATAAGAAGATCATTTTAAAATTAATAAAGTTCTTTAGAGAAAATTAAAGAAGAAAATTTTTTGTTCTTTTTTCTTTTGGTTACAAAAAGAACTATTGTGAAATGGGAGTATATAAGAGTATTTTAAGGTTTCCACCAAGGCTTCTGCCCTCTCACACATGACTGCATGGTTTTCAGTTGGCCATGCCTTCCTATTGAGTCACTGGTAATATCTTCCAAAGCAGCAACTCAACACCAGTATTTTCATTAGTTGGACCAGGGCAAACCTGCTGAAAATGCAGTCCAGTATTATAGAAAATCACGTTCAGCACCTTTTCTCTGTGGCTCCATTGCTCATTCAAAGACATGAACAAATTCTTCAGGCTGAGTACACAGACCTTGCAGAAGGAACATTCTGGAACTGACAACAAACACATCACTCTATTTTCCAATCTCAGTAGCTTGTGAGATTTCTGAAATACTGGAGAAATTAAAACAGGTTCAATAGGTCTGGTGATGCTGTTCCTTGTCCCTAAGTGCTAACACACATGTTTGGAAGCACAGCCTTTCAGCATCTCAAAGCATCAGTCATACAAAAAGGCTGCACTGGAGACAAGGAAGGGCATCAAGTCATCAGCAGTTTGAAATACTTCAAACAAGGACGGGGGGAGAGAGAGAAAGAGATTATAATAGAAGGACAAGTCTTAAATATAACAAAGGTATCAGAGCATAGATGCCTGCTATGAACCCATTTGCTTATTCTGCCTCCGTTAAAATGTGAATCAGAGTTCAGGACTCTGAGTTATCTTTATGATTATATTGTCTGCAAGTTCCACATCATGTCTAATTCAGAGGAACCTGACCCAGTGTGTACGTGTTCATATCTTACATCATTTATACTTTTAAAAACCCCTCAGTTCCCTCTAATGACACTATGTACTTGGGTACAACATCCTACCACTCCCTGCCCCTCTCGGCTTAGCTGCAATGGGGAGGAGCAGACCAGGGGCTCCTGCTCCCCTGTTTACAGCTAGTGCCATAATCTGAGCAGAGCTAAGCAGGAGAGTAAGGGCTGGCCTGACACAACTGGCCTTACTCCCCTTTTTGACCAAGCAAAGGATGTGATAATATAGGGATGGGGGCAAAGGAATGATGAAGTAGGATAGGGACAGAAAATGGGGGCAAACTACCAAAAAAGAAGCTCCCAGTGTTTCTCCAGTCACATTAACACATGTCACATTTAGAGAGAGAAAGTTTATCACCTTCCTGCCTTTTTTTGGCTGAGGCCTTGTCTACAGAAGTCTCCACTTCACTAGAATTCCTCACGGTTGCTCTCATTGGTGCAGTCAAACCAGCAATAGCAACTGCGAGAGTGCTAGTGTATACAGGGCTTCAGACAGCTGCAGGCAATTTAACAACTCTCACTAAACCTGCTCTGAGCAGGGCCTGGGTGGAGCTGCACTGGTGCTAACAGTGTCAGGAAATGCTAAGAGCAAGTCCATTGCAGACAGGCATTTCCTTACGAAAATAAGAAATATCCTACCCTGCACACAGTAGCTCACTGTTGTAGTGCGTGACTTTCACTCGTTAAACTGGTTAAGCGAAAACCTCTAGATGTACACAGAATGGACCCATTTCGCATAATTCATCTTTACAAATTGATAACCTGATGATAAGCCCCCTCTAATTTAGACATACATTATACACACCACTGAATGACTCTCTAAGGAGATCTTTATCTCCTTGGAAGGTGGGTGGCACCACCAGCAATTTAATAAGAGCCAGTTTTGGAAACAGATGCATATATCATGAATGAAGGGCACGGTCTCTGCATGGCCACCCCCGGCAGACTGGTCACCCCCATGGGCCGAGTGTAGCCCTGGTATGATTCCAGTAACTGCAGGGAGAAGCCTGGCCCAATGTCTCTTAATTACCTACACCGAAGAGGGAGAAGAGCTCGGGGGCAGAGCAGGAGCAGCTATATCAATGCCCCAGGAACCTGGAGCAGCCACTGCGGGAGAGAGAAACAGCTCCTCCCCTATGGAAGAAAAGTTGTTGGGGGTATTTAGGAAGTTGCACTGGTGCTGTGCCCTGGCATCCCCACAACCTTCCATCTGAAAGCTGAGCCAGCTGAATCAAGTAGGGAATGAAACACGTCCTCCCTCCAAAAACTGCAGCAGAGCGGGGTGCAGCGCTGAATGTCGCTCAGCTGGTTGGCTACCAGCCCTGGCCCTCAGCACTGAGCTTCCTCCTCCCCTTGCTGCTCTCGCTGGCCCTGTCCCCCTGAAATGATGCACGAGTCTACCTGGCTGGGACTTCTACCTGCACACAGAAATAAGGAAGGGCAGGTCACTTAGGAACAAAAAGGAGCGAAGCTGCACTTTGAGACTCCCAATCCTCCAAGGAGCTGCATGATGCTGCCCTGCACCTACCTGGAGCCTTATCATGGGATTCACAGCAATCAGGGCCTAAGCTAGCCTGTAGGCACAGCACACTTACCGCTTTCCGCTTGAGAATGCAGTCTAGTCTCCAGCGATTTCCTTCTACCACGGGTCGCTTCATAAAGATTTCTGGGCTCAACCTAAAAAAAAAGGTGACAAAAAGAAACATTCTGTGGTGTGAAAACTATGTATAAGGTCAACTAATCCAGGGGTTCTCAACCCTTTTCTTTCTGAGGCCCTCCACCCCCAACATGCTATTAAAACTCCAGGGCCCACCTGTGACACAACAACTGGTTTTCTGCATATAAAAACCAGGGCCTGTGTTAGGGGGTAGCAAGCAGGGCAATTGCCTGGGGCCCCACGCCACAGGGGCCCCTGTGAAGTTAAACTGCCCATGCTTTGGCTTCAGCCCAGGCTGGTGGGGCTCAAGGCCTTGGGCTTCAGCTTTCTGCCTTGGGCCCCAGCGAGTCTAATGCTGGCCCTGCTTGGCAGACCCCCTGAAACCTGCTCGCAGCCCCCAGACTCCTGGTTGAGAACTGCTGAACTAATCGACTCCAATAATGGTTGAGAAACTAAAGAGTTTATTCATTAGGTGTGAAGTCTGCTCTCCCACGATTTATTTTTTCACAGAACTGTTATTGTTTGCTTTTTAACAATGGTGCCGTATATAACAGCTGATGTGTCCCATGTGTAGCAGAGGCCAATGACCTATCATTGACAGGGATGAGGTTATTTCATTCAGCACCCAGTGGGACCAAACTGAATGGTGATGCATCTGGTAGACTCCATACAGAAAAGAGTAAGTTCTCATGCAGAAAAAATATACTCCTGGTAGATAACCTGGGGGTTAAAAGAAAACACTCAGGACTTCAACTCTCCTACCACCTAGACAATTTGAAAATTTCAGATTTGTAGTTTTTTTCCTTGCTGCCTATCCCAGAAGATAGGGTGCCATTCTTTCACATCATGATAGCATTCACTGATACGTAGATTTTAAGGCCAGAAGGGACCATTAGATCATACAATCTGCCCTTCTCTATAACAAGACCACAGAATTTCATCCAGTTACTCCTGTATTGAGCCCAGTAACTTTGACTAAAGCATATTGCTGAAAACATGCTTCTGACAGCAACATTTCTCTTCCTAAGCTTTTGTAACTTCCCAGTAAGTTTCGCAATCCCAAGTTATGATAACAATTGGCTCTTGCCTTGTATAAGGCAGGAGACACGGGTACTGAAATGTAATTTTCCAATGGTCTGACACAGTGTGTGCTGAAGCTTCAGCAGCATATAGTTTATTTATAAGCATTTTAGGATTCAGATTCATGTCAGTGAGGGTTAATATAATGCTTTGCATTCCTATAGGACCATTGAGAACCAAAACGTGCTTTACAAACATGACTGGGTCAAGCCTCAAAACACCCCTAAGAGGTAGGGAAATAATTATAGGCCCACTTTATAGATGAAGACACAGAGGCACAGAAACATTAAGTGACTTGTCCAAGGTCAGACAGGAAAGCTATCCAGACATTCTAACTTTTAGTCCTGGGTGTTGATCACAAGACCATCCTTTCTCAGGTAGAAGGTGTACCAGCTGCAAGTACAAGATAAAACAAGCCCCGACAAGGAAGTAGCTGAGGGTAGTGCGCAATACTGAGCAGCCCAGCATCCGCAGCTAGGGAACAAGAGGAGGCGTTTAAGAGGAGGCGTTGGTGGTGTGTGCTGAAGCTCATGACAGATGACATCAGCAGGATGGCACAGCAGAAGCTGGCAAGAAAAGTACAAACGGCCAGTATTGGAATTGCATATGCACAGCACGCACCGGGGCGGCCAACATGGCCCACCCTGCAGCAGCACTATCACCACCAAATCCCAACAGAAGATTTCAGTGGAGCCCTTCCTGACTGCTTCCTTGCAACCTCTTCTTTAACGTGTGTGGGGATGCCATTACTGAGGTACACTGCCACACTACTACAGGTGAGCGGACTGCCCGCCCTGCCTCTTGCTGACCTGAGTCACAGCCATACCCAATGGTATGACTCTTCTAGGGTGTGCAATGCAAGGGGTCTGTTTTCTAAGCTGCATCATCATTCACACAACTTTCATAAGCAAACTTCAGGATTTTGCCCTCCGTGGCTAGCAATGGCCTGCATTAGCCACAGTGCCTGACACATACACGGACTGTACACAGGGAACTAGAGCGCCACAGCAACATCGAACTGTGATGCTGCACCCCATAGTCTTAGTAAAAGTATTGTTGTAGTATGAATATGGCATAACTAAGATATGTTTTATGCAAGCTGGGTCATGTGAGGTATCATTGGAAAGGTTATGATTTGCTGAAAGTGGTCATCCAATTTGTATGCATGTGTAAGTTCTGTATCTGAGGTTAGGAATATTGACTATGTAACAATTACAACTGTGTGTGTATTTGGGGAATGCCCACCAGACAGTCGGCAATCAGCCTGAATGGGCCACTATAATAGGCAATAGAATGGGTCTTTGAAGATGCTGATTTCTCCTCTTCCTGGCCTGCCATGCAAGATGGTGGCAGGGGGATGTCCTGCATTGCCTAAGTGGTGTACAAATTTGTACATTCCCCCTTGTGTTGAGAGATCTTCTGCTTCCCTGAGACATTCCCAGGGAGTTCCCAGTGGGGCTGTGCAGCCCTGTTCCACTCTCAATGCAGGTGGTGCCTCACAGTACCATGCAGTCTTTCAAGATTATCCCTCGGAAGGAGACACCCAAACTGATGATTTTAAGCATGCACTATTGCTGCCAAGTCTCCTGAAAAGGCCTTTGAATGAAAACCCTCACTGTGAGAGGTTTGGATGTGCTGCCAAACCATCTGGCATCACGGCTAGTTTCCATAATGTAAAGCCTTTGAATAGTGCAGCATTGTAATGAATGTTCTCACAGAGACTGCTGGACAAAATCCAAACGCAGGAATACGAACCACCAATCTGTGATGAAAATTTCTTCTTTCGCTGCCTCCATGGCATTTGCTACATCTTCAAAATACCCTTTTGCATTTACATACCTGAAAAAAAACCAAACACAATACTGGGATTTTTCTTTTAATTACATGGAGAATTCATAGTTGGGGGGAAAATTTCAGTACTTTAAATGAGCAAATGAAAATATCGTTTAAATTCCTTTCTCAAAAGCAAACACGTTCAATTTCATGCACTAGGACAACATGAAAGGAGAATTTCACATCATTGTTAATATCTTAATTAAACCAGTACAATCAAATATTGTTATGGCAACAGGCATGACCAGGTGGCCCTGTTATACGTAGTCTTCCACATTCTTTTTTTCTTAGTGCGTGAGCAAGTTTTGACTCTTGGAAAGATATGTAGTGGTGGTGTTAGTTTTGGGTTATGCAAGGTTTTGATGTAGAGGCAGCTTCAGGGGATAGATGGAGCTGTGTGAGTAGCAGGAGAGGTTGCTCTCTGCCTTGGGCTATGATTGGAGTCTTTGAGACAGAGTTCTCTGGGAACCAGAGAGTGGAATTGGACTGAGATGTGCAAGGAGGGGTTGCTCTGCATGCTGTTTGACCACCTCATTTCAGAACTAGTGCATGTGCATCAATAAACCAAGTTACATTTAGAATATACCCAGACTCCATGTCACTGATTTCAGCCCACTGGGAACCCCACCTGCAAGGCCTCAGATACAGGATACCGTTCAGCAGTGGACTGATACCACTGTCACAATGGGGCCCAGCTTTCAGGAGGGGCAACACGAGAATACAGCATTAGGGTTGAACCCTGCAAACACTTTCTACTGGATGTTGTGTTTACTTCTCTCATTTGAGATTGGGGAAGATGTGACCATGCCAGAATCAGAGTAGCTGCTTTATTGAGAGGCTGTTGAGAAGGGAGATGAAAGTGGTGCAGGATGAAATTTTCAAAAGCACCTAAGTCACTTAGGTGCTTTTGAAAATGTTACCCAAAACCAATAGTCAAGCTAAGAAGTGAAAGTAGCAGCTTCTAAAGTAAGGAGAGTGTTCTGTTCTCCATTCATAAGCATGTTTATTAGCTTCACTATGAGTTACATGTGCATCAAGATATCACTTTTATTCTGAAATTAATAAATCACTCATATGGCCAATCTCTACAAAAATAAAAAATCTAACAGCTCTGATCACTGCAAAGCAAAGTCATAACAGGAGTGAAATGGTTATGCTACTAATCCTAATATTTTTCTGCAGATCAGACAAGGAAGAGGCATCTTTGATACTCCCATAGTGATTTATAGCATCTAGTAGCGAATTCAAACACGCATGTTCTTTAAATGTGAATGATAAATCAGTAGGGCCATGACCTTGCTCCCGCTGAAGAGAATGACAGCTTTGCCATTGATTTCAATGGGAGATAGAGCATATTCTTACTACTGCAAGGACTATCTTACCACTTTGCCAAAGTATTCTCCTGTATAGCTGCATACGACCCGAATCTGTGATGTGTTAGAAAGTTTTTGCCATATTTCTGAATGAACTCTTCTATTCCCTGTCCCCACCATCGGGCATGTCTGTAGCTGTTACACTTCAAAATCAATGACCTGGAAAATAACCAAAGAACGGAAAACAACGAGTAAGCAACACACTTCTATTTAGCCTAGTTCTCACTATCGAACATGTTGATATGGGAATTGAATATCAATCACATTTTTTTTAATCAAAAGTGACCAATAGCTAGCTATTTAGCTGAGGTTTTTTTAAATAAAAAATATTTCAGCACCTAGAGACCACAGTTACTGACAACCTATAAAAACAATAGATAGATATTACCTGCATGTTTTGCACACCATGGACCAAATGTTGCTTACATTGGTGCAACCCCATTGATTTAAATGGGATAGCACCAGTGTAACTGGGAGCAGAATCTGACATCATGGATGCTAAAAAATTTTAAATGACCATTTACACCCACTGAGGAACTGTCCCATTGATCTGGATTCTTCTCTCACAATAATAGGGTGGCTGGATTCTTTTGGCATTCCTCCCTGTTAGATGGGGTTGGAACCCTGAAGGGAGATGCTCATTGAACAGTGTTGACTCACTGTAGCAGGTGCAAGTTGCAAACACATCCTGCATATAAGGGAATGGCCCCCTTTTAATTAAAGGAAGCCAATTTTTAAGTGAAAAACTGGGGGGGGGGGAAAGTGGTCTAAATAAAATGTACATTTCTCACCTGGAGAGATTGTCAATCCGTAACCCATATTCTGTTTCAGTCTCTTTCTTGCCAATCTTAATGCTGAATTCTTTATCTACCAGCAGGACAAAGGAAATGGCTCCGCTATCCGTCTTCATATACATTAGGAAAGAGTCTTTCACTACTAACCACCTATAAGGTGAGATAACATTTATCTCAAATTCACTTCAAAAACGAGAGCCATCCACTAATATAAAGTGAACAGTAGTCCCCATGAGAGAACTCCAAGCCATTCATCATCAGGATCTAAAGCAGTCAAGGGAAGGGTTTGTGACCTATTAGGGGCAGTTTCTTTGTAATATGGTTTACAGAGCTGGTGTCTGACTGTGCTCTCGGAGTGGAGTAAAACAGGAGTGACTCCACTGAAGTTAGTGGAGTTACACCAGTGTAAAACTGATGAAAGGGAAAGGAGAATCAGCCTCTGGAGAGGTGATTACAGCAACAGATGGTATACAAAATCCTACATCTGGATGCTCAAATCAGCAGTTAAGTGAGAGGAAGGATGGTGCAGTGGTTAGGGTGCTACATGGGGACTTGGGCAACCTGAGTTCCATTTTCTGCTTTGCCACAGAGTCCCTGTGTGACCTTGGGCAAGTAACTTAGCCGCTCTGTGCCTCAGTTTCCCCATCTGTAAAACAGGGATAACAACACTGGAATAAATACATTAAAAATTGTGAGGTGCTTAGACACTACAGAACTGGGGGCTATATAAGTATCTGTGATAGATACAAGTCCATTTTATGCGCTTGAATAGTGATGTGCAGAACCAAATTCAGGTATACCATTACAGTGGGAACCAGGTTCTGTATGATCACATCCTATATAAGTCCTTGGAAATTTAGGCTTTAGTGTCTGGAACATTAATAGGAATATACCTGTTGGCCATCAGGGGTTTCCAGCCAAGTGGCTGCATAATGACGAGGTGGAGCAAAGATTCTCTTTTGGTAGCCTGCAATACCTGTGGGCACTGTGGGAGCAGCGCACTCTCGTTTGAGTTTCTCATGTGTTATTTATAAAGGCACTGAATCCTATTAAAGCTAATGGAAACTGTACAAAGAGGACATTTTGGAAAGGTTTCATTGCCAAGCAACAGGCATCACAGTAAAAAAACAAGATGAAAAATGACTAGCAGGTTGTGTGTGAGCACCACAGCCCTTGAGCACTCTGGAAAAAATATTTCCCTGTCAGTGTCCAATATTTTTGCCCTCTCTGTATACATATATATGAATGATGTGCCTAACATCCTCTCTCCTTCACACACAAGTGAATCACTCACATGGCCTTAGTCCAGATCTTTGTTCGTACAAATGAATGCACAAGGAAAGAGAATGTATTTTTAAACCAATTGCAAAGACATATTAATGACTGTATCTTTCATGGCATCCTGAAGTGTTATGTTGCTGGGCCCAATTCAGTTCAATTGCTCCATGTTCAAACTGTGCAGTGCTCCCAGGTTAGTTTTCTGAGCACGACGCTCATCACATAGTAACAGGGCATAGTCAGGGCCAGCTTTAGGAATATGGGGGCTCTAAAGAGGTTGTTACTGGGGGCTCTGTGCTTTTCTTTTCTCCTCCCCCTTCCCTAGACTAAGACTAGCCATAGTAATCAACGTTGTAGATAACAATAGACTCCCCACTCTCACATCAAATTTGGGGCCCCCCCATAAAATCAGGGGACCCCTGTCCCCTCGCTCACAGACTCTGTGGGTCTCGCATACATTTTGCATAATGAAAACAGAACAGAAACACAGGCGGCTCTGCTGACTTGTAAAGCAGCCTTTAAAAGAAGGAGCACTGTCTTTCTTACAAGCCAGAGTGTGCTCAATTTGCTCGTAATGAGGCGCTGGCCTCACAACCAAGTTGAAAATTACAGCTGAACTTCCAGAACTCCTCAGCCACATGACATTACAACAGACCCGACTTATAATGCTTTTGCATACCTCAAACGACCCGAACAGTGAAGTAGAATGAACGAACATCCCAATGCCCATAATATTCAAAAAGAGTAACTCGGGTTATAGAGAACTGCCACTTGTAGTGAAGCCGTTTGGTGAAAACAATGATTTCATTGTAACAGGGTCGCACTACATTCAGAAAAGGATCTTTGCATCATGTTTCCATACTGAACTGAATAGGGGCTTTGTGATGTGATTAAGGACAATCTGGTGTTTGTCAGTGACAGAGGAAAGAGCTGGGAATCACAAAACCTCGATGCAGCACTTTTAACTACTTGGCACTAAACAAATTAGTGCATCCACCAGTGGCAAGGAGTATAAAGCATGGAAAATCTGACTCAGGACAATTTTAGTACTTACGGAGAGGCACTGGAGAGACTGATTTAAGAATGGGGACTATGGATTGGCCATGAAATGTTTGCCAAAAAAAGGAAACTGAAATTGAGTAATTCAGATTTTGAGTTTAGTTTTTATGAATCCAAAGAGCAATGACTCTGAAAGGTGATTATAAAACCAGAACCTTCTTATTTAGCAAGTTTGCTCCACATGTGTATATCAGTGTAGTTTAATGACAGAAATAAGTGTTCATCGCAGAGCCAACGTAGACAAGAGGAGGTGAACTGGATTCTATACCTTCCTGTGCAACAGATCATCAAAGAACTGTGTACTAAGGTCCAATAAGTGCAAGCCCATTGAGGACAACGGAGTTGTATAGGTGGCCCTATACAATTACAGCACAGAACCTTTATTACAGGTGATGATGAGCAAGGAGGAAAGAAATCAGCTTAATTTTCAGATCCTGGTTGAATTTGTAAGGTTGGCAGTTAGGGAAATAAAACAAACAACATAAATGTGCAGATTTGATCTGGAAATTATTAAAAAAACATGGAACCACACAATGCCATTTTCACAGACACGTTTCAGAGCTCAAAACAAATTAATTAATTCATTAATTATTCTCTTCTAACAAAATATACCCTAGGCTTGGGTGTTTTGATAAATATGGAAAACAATATAAAAAATCAAATTTCTTCAGGATGGTCCAGATCTACAAATATACTCTCTTTGTAATATTATTGTTAGTTTATTTATATACATATGTTATGGTAGTCTCTATGGTTACTAGAGGCCTTGATCAGGGCTTCCTCATGCTAGGCAGTATATATGCATATAATTAAAAGAGATAATTCTCACCCCGAAGAGCGTACTTAAACTATTTCTGTACCACGGAGTAGAAAATGTACTCATTACAGAGGTAAACATTATGCATGGCTTCAAAGGGCCTGATCTCTGCATGGTATAATATATTGTCTCTGATGGATCAAGACTGCATTTATGGAAAAATGGCAAAGAATACTAAAAACCAGATAGAACTTTGGAGGAATGAGCAACATATTTGGAAGAAGACCAAAACCTCATCTATCTGTGTAACCTTTCAGGAAAATTATTACAAAATACTTTGTCAATGTCACTTCACTCTATTTAAGGTACGGAAATATATAAAAAGGGAGTCATAACTGTTGAAGAGGATGTGGAGTAAGAGGGTCCTTCCTATATTTATGGTGGGAATGCCTTAAAATAATTGTATTTTGTGGGAAAATAGCAAACAGAATTTTCAAGATAGCTGATGTTAGCCTACTCACTAAACTTACAGTGGCTCTATTAGGTTACAGTCCAAAGGAGGTTATTGAATCAGGGAAAGACTCACAGTTACTTCTAGCAACCATATGTGCCGTAACTCAATTTTGGAAAAGGGTAGATGCCTCAACATTAGTAGGAGGGTGAAATAAAGTCCAAGAAATTCTTTCAACAAGAAAAATGACAGGCAGCCTTATATCAGGTCGAGTAGATTTTCTAATGTGTAGGCACCGCTTTTGGAATTAGAACAAAGTAAATACTCAGATAAGGATAACAAGAGGGAAATCTGTAAGATTTGTTAATATTTGTATGGAAAGTTCACATCTGTTAGGAATATATATATATTTTTAAGAACAGATTAGGCTTATGGAAGAGTATTTTAAACTCAGTTTCATACCATTTTGTTTAGTGAACTGTGGGTCTTTTCAGCTACTCATAATATATCTGGGGTACCAATGCATAAAATAAACTCTTGCCCCAATCCTTGTTCAACTGCTCAGCTAGAAAACTTGCTTCTCCTCCTATATTTGCTGTGCTGGAGGTCTCTGTGCTCTTTTGCAGTGGTTTGTACTTCTGGAGCAGGGAGGTCAGGCAGGAGCAGTCAGCCACAGCACTTGAGGGAGTACAGGGACTACCATTATGCCAAGGGGCTTTTAACACATGTGACAAGGGAGGGTCAATGAGTGAAAAATGTGCTCATAGAATCATAAAAGATTAAGGTTGGAAGAGACCTCAGGAGGTCATCTAGTCCAACCCCCTGCTCAAAGTAGAACCAACCCCAACTAAATCATCCCAGCCAGGGCTTTGTTAATCCGGGCCTTAAAAACCTCTAAGGATGGAGATTCCACCACCTCCCTAGGTAACCCATTCCAGTGCTTCACCAACCTCCTAGTGAAATACTGTTTCCTAATATCCAACCTAGACCTCCTCCACTGCATCTGTCCCTAAATAATTAACAAACTTGTTGCCTTTGCTGATGGCAGCCAGCCACCAGAGCCATTACTTACATTGGGCAGAGTTCTGCCTGACAGGCACAGCCCTGAGCCAGGAAAAGTGCAGAACAGCCCTCCAGTCAACCACCCCATGGGAGGGATCTCTCCAGTGCATGGGGAGCAATAGAGGCCGCCCCCTGACTTATCTGTTAGGCTGGTACAGTAGGCATCTTTCTCTGTGCCCTGCCATCTCTGCTGGCTGGGGGAGGGAGGGCACCCCTCTCTGCCTCCTTTGGAGTGGTCTGTGGGTGTAGGCAGGGAGAAGCAGTCAGCTCCAGCACCTGAGCAAGCACAGGGACTACAATTAGACCAGGTTACTGTGTGAAGTGGGGCAAGTGTGAGGTGGCTTCTTGTGCCTCCTCCCCCCACTCTGCCTTATGTATCCACAAAGCAGATGGGCACAATCTGACCCTTTATCTTTATTTCTTAAATTAATTAAACTGGATCAAAAACCTGCCATCCAGTAATTCTCTTCAAAACAACACAGCTCAGGCCTCTGTAGGACTCCTTTCAAAACGTGTGGGGGAAACACAAAAGAGGTGACATAT